ACTGCATATCATCATCCTCAACCTGTTTTGTTATTTTTCTCATCTATACACTCTTTATTAAATCATATTTTCACCCCAATAAAATCTCGAATTGCAAGACTTCATCTTTCAAACTAATTATCATACCCAATGTCAATATACTATTTTTTGTTCCCTCTCTCATTTATCAAGTGATTTTCTTTGTTTTCTCCTAAAGAACTCAAGTCGTTACTTTTCATTTCTCTAAATAATACGTGAGAATGAATTGACTTATCCCATATATACAAATACAAGTATTATCCGATATGATCACCGTTTAGCACAAAACAAACATGAGCGGCGAGTTATCCACACCGGACGTCTTGACCCAATGTCGTTCCTATAATTCGTCCCTCGATTTTAGTTTCTCGTTCACATGAATGTTGGTTACTTAGGTTGAAGTTTTGACTAAAAAATAAAGTATCATACAAATGAACTGGCTGAAAGAAACATATATATGTGGTTAGGTTAAGCTCCAAAAACTAGTGGCCATAACAATCCGCCGGGATTTCTAACGAAGTTTGTACCATATATATGTAGAATCGGGATCGGCCAAGAATCCCAATGAGTGTTATAGTTTGTCACTTTACATGACAATCATAGTGTTATGATGAATGTATTACTCATTGGGGCAGAACGAACTCTCAAGAATATGCAACTAGTTTCATAGATTTTTAGGTCATGGAAATGTCTCATTTTCTTTTGGTAAATTATATTATGGGATTACTTATACCGTTATACTTGTCTAAGAAAACTACTTATCTTTCAGGATGTTATTAGATAGTGTCTTACTAATAATGTCTGATAGTTATTTTTTGCGGAGGTTCTCAACCGGTGATCAGGGATACTACATCAAGAAAGTGATCTTCACATTCTAAAGTCAGAGCCATTCAAAGGGAGGTTCATCATTCTCTCTTTTCATCCTTTGGGTCGGTTTTGTTTCCTTTTGTTCCTCGGAGCTTTCATAGCATTACTCACTTAATACAAAACAGACCCTTTCATCAGGAGTCAGATTGCATATGAATACCGTTCTTTTTTACCATCAACGTTTTAGATTTATTGTCCGAACATGCTTATCTTGGATTTTTTTTAAAAAACGTGAATAGGATCTAGAGTGAAAGTGGAGAAGGTACATGAGAAAAGAGAATGAATGCACATGAACGCAGGTGGAACACACTGCAGATCGTATAAGTGCAATACCCAGAGATGGTGATGCAGATTCACATGGGAGCTAGGAATGTTACTTTGGAGGTTGTACACGTATTTCATTCTGTCCATAATACTTTCTTTTCCCCTCGATCCTAAAACACTTAAACATGAACCATGAATATAATATGTCGAGATTGGATATCTAAACTCACATTGACACCATTTTTTACTGCCACTCACATTGACAATTTGACACCAATTATTAGTTATTACTAATTTACTACCACCCCCTCTGAGTACTAGAATCGTGCCAAGTGTCAGCTGCTAGGGCTTGATCCAGATTCCTAGCCCACTACCGAAGAGAAATAAATAATCCATTTTAAACGAAGATTTAGCTGCGAGTTTTGCTATAACGAAACAAGTAACCGATGAAATAAGAATATACAAACAGACACCAATTTACCCAGGGGTCGGTTGGATGTAAGTTTTGCTATGGCGGAACGAGCAATCGAATAAGTATAAGAATATACAAGTACACTCCAATTTATGTAGGTGTCGTTTGGATGATGGAATTGGATGAACCAATTTAATTCAGTTGTCTAAAAAATGAAGCAAATGAGTCAAATTGTATCGTTTGACAATACATAATAGGAATACAGTAATTGGATTGAGACCATGTGAATAGATTCGTTTTGCATGAGTTTAAATCCAGATATTTCGGAACGATGTATTTTTCGGACAATTGGATCGAATTTTGCTCACTTCAAAAATTTGATATCCAAACAATCTCTTAAAGTAACTCACACAATAACAAAATATGTTACCTAATCCCAACATAAACCAATCCTTGTCAACTCAATATTCTTACAAGCCCTTTAGGAATGAGTGAAGTTGTGGGCAGGGTGTGGGTAAGGTGATGGGCAATTGATCATGTGAATAGAACTTATAGAAGGGTAGGGAATCAATCAAAGTTCCCTCCACCATTGGAGCTCTCACTCAACTCAATCCACACAATGGACCGATTCCCAATAAGTTTCAGATTTTCATCCATTCCTCTCTCTCTCTCTCTCTCTCATTTTCCACACTACATGCCAATTTGCTCAACTTCTGTCACTATGCAAATTATGGTTTGTCTTTGTCATTTCTTTCAAATGTGAGTCACCACCTCCTCATAATTCCACCTATCTTAACCCCTTTTCTCTCACCAATTACCACCTTCTAATTACCCTTCAATTATTGGTGCTTCTCACTAAACTCTAGGCACATTTGGATGGCTTAACATTACTCTTGAGAGGGTGGGATTGGGATGTGGCCTAGGTTTTTAATGGAATGGTTGAAATGTGTCATATTCATTTGGAATTGATTGTTGATGACAATATCATGGGAGAGGAGGTATGAATTGACAATCTTTGTCATTGTGACATATTTTTACCTTCAAAAGTGTGTACTTGTTACAAGATTCATTGTACTAGTCCAACACATTAGCAATCATCTTTGTAGTACTATTTCGACATTACATCATTCGAACTTGTATGCGGTAAAAGATGTTCGTGACTGATGTAATTTATAACAATATCTTGTTTAGGTGGAGGTAGGTTTCAAAGGCATCCCTTATTGCAAATGAGTTAGTGAACAACATCTACAGAGGTAGATGAACAAGGGTTGATGTTCAAATTTGTTATCTTGATCTTTGACAATATGAACTTCAAAACTTAGGATGTTTGTTCAAGTTATTGAATATGATGAACTTTCTTTAGAGGTGGTGTTTTCCAATTTTTTATAACATAAAAGTGCAAGTTTTTTACACCATTCGACCAGCTCTAGATTCATTGTCATTCATTTATAATTTGAAAGAATCGTACGGATGGGAAACGATGCGGTTTGATCTAGACGGTTTATGGTCGAGCTGAGAAGGTGGAGCATAGACTAGGGACCATACCAAATACTACGCGATCCAGATCAGACCACGTTTGTGCTGTCTGAACCATGCAGACCACATCGATCTTAAAATGAACAGTTTGTTTAGTCACACGGAAAATGAAACCATTATTACTGGGGAGCATCAAGAAGAACGTTTCAGCTGGTTGGTGGGCTATCGCCTATCAGATCCAATCCAAATAACACACAGGCCCCAGCCCTCAGGAAAAGGGTTGGCTTCTGATCCTATCAGATTGGTCTTGTGTCTCAGTGAAAATAGAAAACAAAACTGGGCCCTGGCCCATTTCTTTCTAGAACGCGGATTGAAATGCAGTAGGATAATTATAAGTTTCCTAATCCGGATAGTATTCCGTTAGACGTAATACTGGCCCATGGCCCATTTGTACACAAAACAATTTCTGTAATGAAAATTGTGTCAGAAAAATGAAAAATGAGCCAAGTATTCGACCAAAAAAAAAAAAAAAAAAATTTGAGCCAAGTAATTGAATTCAGAAATTGGATCATTTTGATGCAACTGAAAATGGATGCTCAATCCTAATCATTCTCAAATATATAGAAATTTCAACAAAAGTAAGATGATCTATATTCAAAAGCCCAAACTACTATGCTCCAAATAGGGATGGCAATGGGGCGGGTTTGGGGCGGGTTTGCCTAAACCATCCCCATCCCCATCTTCAAATACCCAAACCCATACCCGCCCCATACCCATGCGGGGGAATGTTTTGCAAACCCATCCCCATACCCGTGGGTTTCGGGTACCCATGGGTAATACCCATCCCCGTACATCCAACATTATTATACCTAAAACTTACAAGAAAAGTTTTAATTATAACCATAAACAAACCTATTATATCACGAAGTCAACAAAACACGATCATTTTCTAAATACGATTCAAAGAATATGATCCTAAAACGTCCATTAATACATAATATAGACTATAATATTTTTTAAATTATTATGCTCTAACTCTTGATACATTTATTAAGTAATAATTAACTAACATAATTTTGTTGACAAGGGGAAAAGTGAAAGAGTGGAAGGAGAATTGAGGGAAATGAATTAGGTTTTGATTAAGGTGGTTACTCAATTGCATTTCTACTATTTATTTTCTCGAGTTATCATCATCATCATTGATAGATTACAATTTAATCCACGCATTTTTTGATATGTGAAGAAATTCTCTTGGTGGGGCGGGTATGGGTATGGGTATGGGCGGGGGAGGCTAAAACCATACCCGCCCCATACCCATCAAACCTTTTGCGGGTTTTACCCATACCCGCCCCATACCCGTTCAAAGCGGGGATTCCCCGCGTTGACTGGGTATGGGGCGGTCGGGTACCCGCGGCCATGGGTTTGATTGCCATCCCTAGCTCCAAAAACATCGATGCTTTCAAGCACAACAGATTTGGAGAGCTTCGGGAATAACTAATGAATTACAACTTTATTGTACCGTAATTGGTGCATTGGTATTTGCAGCCTTAATGCGTTTTGCTGGTTGAACTTGTACTATAGCGTTAAATATACAAGTTCAATTTGAACCATAACGTTAAAAATACAAGTTCAGTTTGTATCATCAATTTTTTTTTATAGAAAACACAAATACTGTGAAGAATTCACCTAATTTTATATCTCGCCCTCCAAATTACACCGTGACAAACAACTTTCTAGTTTGCACAATCCAGTATTCTACTCTATCCAATCCATCCACACATTACTAAACATAATGCTTCAAACCCAAAATTTCCAAATTCCAACTATATTGAGTAACAATTATGATCAGCTTTTCCATTTGCAACTTCGATTGAGCCATCATGAAGCCGCTTCCTCAACAACCAGTCCAACCTTAGCCATGGATATGAAATGGAAACTGAACTTACCGGTCCAAATCCTCCTGCCTCCACTATATTTTACTTCCTAGTATTTCACCTAATCAATCCACACAGTGACCCTTTTTGGGATTCCAGACTGGTTTCCTCTGCAGCTTGGGCTGGCTTTAAGATCCCATCACCATTCAGCAATTATGGCGATGAGAGGCAACAAGATCATACAAGCCAAGCTGGTGGGTAGTCTTCCCGTTTCATGCATCATCATCATCTTCAGCATCATTCATCACTTTCTTCCAACGTTTCATTACACTACCCGCAAGGTGTTTGTTAAATTGTCTCAGAGAACCTTGTAGAGCTGAAATCACTCTGTTTTCGTGCAGGTGCTTTTGGGGGACATGGGGACTGGGAAGACAAGCCTGGTGCTGAGATTTGTGAAGGGTCGGTTCCATGATTACCAGGTGATGATTGGGTACTGTTTTCGTAGTCGAATTCCTGACTGTGAATCATCTCTCCAGGTTTAGACAGTAGTAAAAAGTTGATTTTTTTGGGGGTTGTGTGATTAGGAATCGACAATAGGGGCAGCATTTTTCACACAGGTGCTGGCAGTGAACGAAGCGACCATCAAGTTTGACATATGGGACACTGCTGGGCAAGAAAGGTACCATAGCTTGGCTCCCATGTACTACCGTGGAGCTGCAGCAGCTGTTGTAGTTTATGACATCACCAGCATGGTATGTTGTTACATTACATATGGTGTTTGATATCCTCTACTCAAGGTGAATGAAAATCCCACAAATGAGTCTTAACGTGTGAAGCTTTGATCTTTGCGTCCAGGATTCGTTTGTTCGAGCTAAGAACTGGGTTCTGGAATTGCAGCGGCAAGGTACTAGAACATGTTGCTGTTGGGGTGTTGTTTCTCACCCAAAATCCCTCAGCTTTTTAGTCCTTTCTTGCTTTTCAAGAAACAAAACCTTTTAGTTCAGCCTTTTTCAGGGGTTTTTACAATCTCCAAAAGAAACCATTTTCTGGTACCCTTCTCCAGTAAAAGTCCAAGGTGAATGTTGTTAATTTATTAACTGGGTTAAGGTATATCTGTTATTGTTAATGTTGCAGAGAAGCCAAATTTGATAGTGTTCTTGGTTGGCAACAAGGCTGATTTGGAAGGGAAGAGGCAAGTTGGAAGCCAGGTACTGTAATTTTTGTTAATACCTTAATATTCCCAAAATTTATGTCTCTTTGCAGCTTCCATTGATTAAGTTGAACCAGGCACATAAACCAGTGTGAAATTATTTGTTCTGGAAATTGTTTACAGGAAGGGGAGGATTATGCTCAAGAAAATGGACTGGCCTTCCTTGAAACCTCTGCCAAAACGGCTCAGAACGTAAACGAACTCTTCTACGATATAGGTAAAAATGGAATCAATTCGTCTATTGTTCTTTAATATGAATTTTGGAAAACAATAACCCGTAAATCATCCAAACGATACCAAGTTACCAACTCTTATCTTATCACAAAAAAATTCCTTCTTCTTTCCCTTTAAATCGAATTAAGTTATAAAAATGATTTTACATTGATTCTGATATTATAAAAACAATTTGGTCGCCTTTTTTTTTTTAATTTTATTATAGCTCTGATAGACGCATGTGAATTTGTCGCAGCAAATCAACTGGCAAAAATTGTGCCTTCACGTCCAGGTGGAATGACGTTGAGCAATAGAAGAGGATCGGAAACAGGCGGGAGGGTATTCTTTTGTTGCTCCTCCTGATCACAGGAGGTGGAAACCTTCAATCAACACTAAATGATCAAATGTGCAATCTTGTTTTGGCGCTGCATTGTTCAATATTGTTTTATATGTAAAATACTAAAATGTATTGTGTAAAAAAAAATACAATATTATATAATTATCGGGATCAAGTCCGTTAATATGTTCGTTGTAAATTAACATCGTTGAAGTACTGCAATTGTTTGATTGAGTAAACGATATCCAAATTTACCCCCTTGATTTTGGGGAGTCAAACCTCAATTAGCATCCCTTCACTCGAAAACCCAACATTTGAAAAGGGAAAACAACCATCCAATCCCCCTCATTAACAACCTTGCCCAATTCTGCCCCTTTGATTTACGAGATTACCCTAAATTAGGGACTTAGCATGATCGTGAGATGATTGACGAAATTATTGGTGGTCGGATTATCATTTCTAGACTAGGCTTCTATTTTAATTTCCGCACTCGAATGCAGTGCAAATACCATGGTTGTGTCACCGTATTGTATCAGTGATCGGATTATCTATTCGCAATTCATTAACTGGTTCCGATCGGTATCATATCAGCAAAATATATTATCTTTTTTTAGTATTATTTTAACAACAATATCATACGTATATGCCATGAATAAATCATACATGATACATATACCACCAAATAGTATTGCACTAAATTGTTCGATATAATTTCAAATACAATTTTATGTGTATCCGCTATCCAACCATAAGAAATATCAGAGATGGCAGTGCATTGTTGCGTTTATCATAGACAAGGATAGTAACTAAACACTGCAATGGGAAGACTGTACTTTATTTTTATTTGTACTTTTTTTGGTCATAAATAAATGGAAACAGAGCAGGAGCAAGGTCAATTAAAAAAGGATAATGGAGGCATCCAAGGAAATATGAAGCTTCTCTTAAGCCCAACTGAATTGTGGTGTGTGGAGTCAAGGGTTCTGACTTACAGCTCTGACTGGTCATAAATTACCTAAAAACTGGACAAATACCACGGCAAGTGTATGTGAGAACGTATTCATAGCGTCATACATTCGTTAAATCGACACCGGTTTTTATAGAGCTTCTCATTGAGTCACAAACTAGCACTCATAACTCTTATTCGTGTTAAATTTCGAGTTATTCGATCGTGCCCTCCAAGTTATCTCGAGTGAAAACGGTCGTGGAAGAATCCGGTCAACCCATCATAACCGGTCAAATAATCAAATGTTTACAAAAACCCATAAGAAAACAGATCTATTTTAAAGATTAAAAGACAAAGAAACAGAGGGAGCTACAAATATTAAAAATGCAATTAGAAGTTACCCATACCCCTATTCTTCGTTTATGTTTTGCTTATATCCACACCACAACTACCGAGATCAAGAAAGAAAGAAAGAAAAACGAAGAAAGGGGAAAAGCTAAAACTGACTACGAATCGAATCACCACGACGGAGAAGTTGAAGGAGTGCATACAGAGGACGAAGAAGAAAGCAGCCCGTTGTTACTATTGGAATCAGTACTCCCGGAAATAGTAGCTTCCGCCGGGAGCAGCGGAGGAGTACTGCTGCTGCCCGCCGGAGGGCTGGCCTTGGTGGTTATCTCCTCGTCGCCATCGCTCTCCAGCCGCGAAGGCGACGAGTCCGGGGTTTCGAACGGGGCGTCACTGCCGCTGCTGTAATCGGCACCGTCGTTGCTGTTAGTCTTGGCGACGGCGGCGGGGGGAGGGCGGTTGTCGTAGATGGGATTGGAGATGTAAATGAAATGCTCGGCGGCGTTGTCGGGGGAATCCTTGTGAACGACGGCGGCGGCGGGGATTTCTGGAGGGGAAGGGGTGCGGAGGAGGCCGATCTGCTGCGGGCTGGCGTTGGAAGAGCCGTCGTAGAGCTCGAGGACGTGGTGGAGCTGGTGGTGGCGAGACTCGTCGTCGTCGTTGCGGCGGCTGTTGATCGGTCTCTTGGCTTCTTTGGCTGCCGGGATGGGGAAGAGGAAGCTTCTCGGAGGCTGGAGGACACCCACCGCCGGGAGGTTGGAAGGAGGGGAGGTGGTATCAGGGGAGGAAACCGCCGGCTGCTGGCGGTGCCGACGGCGGCGGAGAATGAGGTTGCAGTAGAGCTCAGCTAGGAGCATCAGAACTAGGGTGAGCACGAAGCCTAGGCCGATGACCATCGCCACCGTGGCTCCCATTATCACCTTGGAAGCTCCCTTCATCTTCTCTCTCTAGATTTAGCTGGCTACTTCGGGAGGAGAGAGATGGGAAGGAGGGAAGAAAGTGGGCAGTAAAAAAAGGGAAGACAGAGGGTACAGTTGGGTAAAGAAATGGAAGGAGGGAAGGCAGGCAGGTTTTGGCGGGAAAGAACAGTCATTTTCCTTTGACGAAGAGAAAGTAAATGTGGGAGATTGTAAAAAAACATCAGGAGGGAATCTTCTCAAAGCATGGGGAATGTAAAGGCGGTAAAAAAAAAAGTGTAAAACAGCATTTGCCTGCTATTCTGCACTCTTCTTCGGCAGTCTAGTTAATTAACAAGAAAAAATGGGGCAAAAAAACTGAAACGAAACAGGAAAAGCGAATTATTTGCACTCATTGTTTTCTTTTTTTTACTGTGTATCAAACCATCAATCAGAAGCAACTCCTCTAATGGAGGACGTGACATTCCCGCCTGGTCCTCCTAGTCCTCTCACACAGGAGCAAAAGGAACACAGAACCCTATTACAAAATGATAGGGGAAGGAGATTGAATGGGAAGTACAAATCTACGAAGCCAAATGAAGTAATGGAAACATCGTAATAATGGTGGTGGTGGTGCAGCTGTCGTCGTCCTTCCTGGCTATGGTGGTGATGGTGGGAGTGGGTGCTGTACTTAAACGACAGGAGACCAAATGGTGGTGGTGGTGGGGATTGGGGAAGAGAGTAAAAAATTGCAGCAGCGAGACAGGGACCAAAATCAATGCTTAAAGAGAAGTAAAAAAATTTGTGAGGAATTTCACAGTTTTACTTTTACCTCCCTTTCAGAGCTGCGAACCGGGCGGTCAAGTCGTCGTAGTCCGGTAACTTGGGATGCACGTGTCGAGCGGCGGCTGACCGGTCTGGCTCGAGGGTAGCGGCACGAGCGAACACTTTGTTCCCCTGAGGTGGTGCTGCCGTTGATGGTTGCTCGCTGGGGAGAGAGAATGATCTTGATGGATGGGAAGATGCTTCAGTGCTCGGATCACGGGAATGATGACGACTGGAACTCCTTGACGACTTCCTTCGAACCTGGGAAGGTTCGGGATCAAATGCGGTAGGTTTCTTGCTGTAGTGTATCAGCAGCTTGTCGATTATCCTTTCCTCCTCGTCGTTCTGATGCACCTCGTCGTCGAACAGGATCTGCAGGCCTCGCCTCGAGTCGTCCTTTCGGTTCCTGCTTCTCGATTTCCTCTTCGCCACTCCCGCGCTTTCCATGCCACCGGCGGCATCCTCGTGGCTAGTTTGTGGCTTCTGGTGTCGTCTCCGTGAAGAGGGCCGTGGTTTCGGTATGGGGTTGACTACCGTCTCGCCTTGATAGTACACCTTGGTGTCGAAGACATGTTCATCGGCACCCTTGGCTGGTCGTGGATCGTTGTTCTCGGAGCGATAGCCATGATTGATCCTTTCTTGTGCTCTGGATGTATCAACTGCACCGGTGTCTAAAACCGTAGTTGGAGATGCTGATGCGTTGATAGCAGACTTGGTATCCTTCGGCTTAGTATTGGGTCGAGTGTAAGGAGGCGGGATGGCGTTGTTGTAGAAAGATTTGAACTTCTGTGCTTCGTCTTCCTGTGCATCTCTCGTAATTTTTGCTGCAGAGTGTTGACCAGGAGATGCAATAATAGTCAATGGATCTTTGCTGTTGACCTTTGCCCACATTCCGGCATAGCTAGGAGAAGGTTCTGGCTTTCCATGAGTTGTGGTATCGATGCCATTTGATTTGGGAGGAGTGTTGCTCAGTCTGTCATCAATGCTTGCCTGCTGTGTCTTCCGAGAGGAACTGCCCAAACCCACCGTTCTCGGAGGAGTAGCCTGCTTAGGAATTTCATGCTTCTTTACCACAGGGATTTCTGGCCTTGCTGGAGGAGACGAGTCATATTTCGTCTTCCTCAGAGTAGGTTCTTTTTCTCCTCCGTTTTGCATTTTGTCGACCATGCTGGGAACTTCAGTCCTTTGATGAGGAGGATTCGGGTTGTCTCTTTTCCAGTCGGGTTTCTCTTCTTTGATTAACCGAAATCCACGGTTATCATTCTGTTCTTGCCTTGCTTTGGATTGGGCATCACGTTTAACACCTTGGTTGATGTTGTCCTTGCCATTAGTTAGGTCCGATTTACCGCTCCCAGCAAGTGAAGGACTTCTAAGTTGAGCCTGCAAAACATATTGACATAGAGGAGCATTCATAAAGAGAATAGAGTTAGCAATTTCGAAAACGTTCTCACAGGCAGAGAGAGAGGCCATAATAGAAACTAAGTAGAGGGTGAAACCTTCACAGGAGAAGGTCTAGATATCCTCTGTTCAAAACCTGTGGAGTCCCATCTGATGGAGAACTCTGATGCAACATCTCGCAGCAGTTGAACTTTCTTCTCCGTCGTTACAGGTTTTGCAGACATATTGTCAACAAACTATATCAACCACAAGTGTCGACATGTCAGTTCTCAAGAGACGACAAATTGCAAGCATTATTCCATAAATGCCAACGATCTGTTTCGAGTATTACCCCTTGATTCACATACAATTCCAAGGAATCGCCATATCTCTCCAGAAAAAGCTGCCTAAGGTCTCGCAACTCTGGCAGATCTGAGAATCTTGCGGCTGCAAACATCAAGGAAGACACAGCTTCCCTGCAGTCCTCTGCACAATGTCTGCCATGAGCCACAAATGAAACACAAAACCTAACATTAGCAAGTGACAACAACTAAAACTCCACCTCTCAAATGAAACACGAGTCGACATTAGTAACACAATACACATGTAAGAGTTCCTTCACCATACACCTAATGAACAGAATGGTTGCGATCCTCATGCACTCGGACAAAAATACAAACACAGCATCGACATGCACAATCATAATTGAGTTTAGAAATGATACACTTCCAATCCTTGTGAACTTGTACTGATGGAAAATGCAGCAGCTCATGAAATCAGACCACGCCTATATACAACAGTCACGCAAACCATACTCTCGTTCGGGCGAAATGTAAAAGACACCGTCTGAAAATCATTTCCAGAACACAGTGTCGAACTTGAACCAGAATCTCATTACCTCATCTTTTGCAAGACGGAGAGATGCTTCACCACAAGATCGCAACAGCGCTCAACAAAATCATAGCAAGAGGATAAGACCAATTCTCCAACAAGTCCTTCAGCCTGTTCCAATTTTACACCATCACGAACAAAGACATCATCAAGGCAGTGAGCCACAAAAGAACAAGCAAAATCGCCATAGCACTAAAAATAGAAGCACAGAGACAAGAAGACGATTCAACATCCAGTAATGTTAAAAATAGAAATTTTAGAGAGAAATAGCAAAAGGACAAGCCGAGCAATTAGACAATTAAAATTCCTCTCAGCAAAATTTGTTCCACGAGGAACAGACAAAACTCTGAGCTCGACACTGCCGTTAATTTAACTTATCGTCGCCGACGTATTAGTAAATTGAGTAATTCACTGGACGGAGACTGGCAGCCGGAGGTCACATCGAAACGTTTTCCGCTAGCTACCGTCGATGACAAAAGGAATTTCAAACTCAAAAAGTTTTCTGTTCATCGCCGTCGGTAGAGTAAGAAACTCGCAGGAGCTAGAGCTAAAGCAGGGGGAGAAATCGAGCTGAGCAAGCAATCAGATCAATCGACGCGCAACAACAAGAATAAGGAGACAAATACTGAGAAGATGATTATCGACGGGGAACCAACCCTGCCGTAAGCGTTGATGTCGAGTCCATTGGCGAGCAGATCAGCCACGTCCTTTTTTAGAAACTTGAGAGTCGCGCTCCTCTTCCTTCGAATCACATCGATCCGGATCTTGGTCTGTTTTATCAGCGATTTGCTGCAAAAAATAGAGAGAAGGCAAACAATCCGGCGAATCAGAAATCAAAGCCGGGGATCTTTACATCCAACCGACACTGAAGAAAAAAGAACGGCATACCATTTCGCAGCAAAGCCTCGACCTAACAGTCCGTCCAGCATTCTTCCCCGAGTTCGCTTCCTTCTATACTCTTACTTCTTTCGCTGAACTCCAGCTGGAGACTCCGGCTTTGGTTTCGCTTCCAGAAACCCAAGGCTACGGAGAGAGAGAGAGAGATAGAGGAGGAGGTCTAATCCGCCATTAATGAAGCTGTTAGTGCTCGCGAGAGGAGCAGTAATGAGCAGGGGCTTAAACGGGAGGAAGGAGGAGAAGAGAAGAGAAAGCTCGGAAAAGGGAAACGGGGAAAAGAATTCGATTAACAAATGGGGAAAAGGAGAAAGAGAAAACCAAAGAGCTTCTCTTTTCTTCTCTCTCTCTTTCTTTCTCTCCGCCTGTCGCTATCTGGTGGCAAGTATACGTTTCTTAGGCACTTTTTTTTTCAAATCAGGGGAGACTCGGACTACTCGGCTCGTGTCGCTGGTGAGTCAAGCGGCTGACTCAGTGTCTCTCCAACCGAGTTCATTTCATTTCCCCATTTCACGCTTGGGTTCTTTTTGCGTGAAATGACGGGAATGGGCTTGTGGTGGGGAAGCTACGGAAGAAGACAAGAGGGGCAAATTGGGGAATGGAGGGACTAATCCTGTGGAGGAACAAACGGCGGGGGAATTGGTGGGCACGTTTAATCGTGGCCGCCTGATGGTTGGACAAAGTTGGGTTAGTTTTATTGTTTAAAGTGGCAGTCGACGGTGGGAGATTAATGTAATGATATGGGAAGGGAATCTAGGGTGCTGATGTGTACCGCAGGTGGATTAGCAGCAAGGTTGTCAACCCGCAGGCTGCAGGTCGACCCACTTTGATCCTGACCCGGTGAGAAAAACGGGCCGCATGCACCCGCCGGACCGATCGCTACAAGGTACCGGGTTGGAGGTTAAATTGTGTCATTTTTTTCATTGGTTTGCGAAATGCGCCTATTTTCCGATTTTTCTTTTCGGCTAGCTCAAATTTTAGAATGCTAAGTTGAACATTTGAATATTTATGTTATATAAGTGTGTGTGAATTTTCACTATATGTTGGATCTATATACGATATGTTATTTTGGTGTAATATTATATGTTATAACTCATATGTTAGATAAGATTTGATATAATTTATGAGGATAAGTACAATATAACGACTTTTTCCATATTTCCGGGCCAAGCCGGGCTAAAACGGTTGACCCATTAACCCTTGACCTACTAGCTCGACCGGGTCCGGGTCAACCCGCGGGTTGACAACCTTGATTAGCGGAAAATTGAGCTGATCCTTTCTGTTTAACCTCAACCCAAGCATTGTAAACTATCGTAAAAGTTAGTGATATAGTATTTTATGTTAAATGTAGATAGAAAAGAGTCGGCAATACAATTAAATTTAACAAACATTGAAAAACCCCATCGAAGAAATGCTAAAGATATTTAAGATGAATTCATAGGACGAATTGAGGTCGTGGCAATCAAATCACATGGGGGAAAATCAAAGTTTTGTGTTGATCAACCAGAGGGCATTTGTAATTAAAATGATTTGTGAATATAGCAACCGGAATTAACTTGGTACACAAGTAGAAATGCGCGGTTTGGAATTACTATATCTGGGAATCCAAATTAGCAGCAAATAATCACACACAGTTTTGTTCTGACACATAAGATCTCTTCTTTCTTTCATCCCTGCCTGCCCTGCTGCGTCTTTCTTCTGATTTAGTCCCCTCGTAAATTCTGTTTCCACTGAACAACTGGATTAGATGGGCAGTCCACGTCAAATTGGCGAGATGGGAGCCGAAAGGTAGCTTCATCGCACATGATAATGTCGGGATTAAAAGGCCCAAATTGACCAATCAGGCAATTAACACTAATAATAATAGATAGAAGTGTAATAATTGAAGGCTTAATAATGCCTAATTCAAAGCTAAAATGGAACTCATCCAAATCAAATCATTGCCAAGGTTACGGAGACGTTCTGCAATTACGTTCTGATTACAACGGGAAGTAAAAGAAGGAGGAGAAACAAACAGGAACACCTTCACTACTTCACCACAGAGGTGTTAAAAAATGTTCAATTAAGAAGGTTCTTTCTGCATCAAGAAGGGCAACACTGCAATAGTTTCATACAAGAACCCTGACTGTAGGACGAGAGCTAAAATGTTCCATTAAGAGGGCACAAAATCTGAACGTGAGAATAGAAGGTGTAGCTAATAAGGCATGCAGTAACCAAAACAGCTTCCTGTCAAAATACTTCCTTCTCACAGATCGAAAAACAGAAAACTCAGAATTGCGCTCGGCGTTCTATTTTGCTCGAGTAGCTGGCTTTTATTTCTATCTACTAAATGTCGGGTTTCTCGGGCTCTTCCTCCTTATCAGGATTTTCATCTCCTTCCTCTTCCTCCTCTTTCTTCTTGTCTCCGTCTTCCTCTTCCTCCTCCTCCGGGGGAGGATCGTATGGCAGCGGAGGTGGAATCGGTGTTTTCATTGGGCTGAACTGGGGGAATATGTCCGGTCTTCGTCCAGGCTTTGGCCTTTCCCATTCCTGCAACGCCAAGTTCAGAATTGTAATACAAGAAAGACGCGAGACCACATTACCAGGTGGATAGCCAATCACATAGGTTAAGTAAGCTGTACACTTGACCTTCGCTATGAGATGGATGTTATCAAACATAAACAAGACATTAAATGATATAACCCATTCATCCACATTCGTCAGCAGTGTTTTGAGTTTTGAGTCACCTGTCAAGATCTGAGCATTCCGGATTTTTCGTAATTGTTTCATAGGACAAATCCTAAATCTATATCTGTTCAACTCGGGCAACCAACGCTTAAAGTTGTCATTGTAAGATGCCAACCTTACTTTCCAGTGGAGGCAAGATTAGTGACTCATCATTCTCCTAAAAGTTGTCATTGTAAGATGACAACCATACTATCAGTGGAGGCAAGAACAGTAACACATCATTCTCCTAAGAAAAACAGCAAGGATCCAATTGTTCACAAGAAATATGGCATCTGCTCCCCCTACTATCAGAACAAAACTGCTAAGGCAGGAATCTAATGGGAAAAGCCAATGACTGCAGCCCAGAATTGATCAAGGTCAAGCAAAGTCTTCAATCGTATCAGAGCGAGACGTAAAATATGAATTGGTACAACAAACTCAAGCAGCCTGAAAGGAACTCGTGGTTGAACAACCTTACTGGCCTTGCTATTAATCGTCCCCGAAAATTGATGAGTTAAGATGGCCATATTTCCTCTCTACCTAAGAAATCCAAATCTAAAGGACAAAGCACTCCATCCAAATTCGACAAGAAAATGGCTTGAGTTTGCCAACTCTTCTAGTAGCTTCAACTTCATTCATTGATGAATACTTCCCAAACGCAACATTATCATCTAAATTCATTTTCCATACTCCAAACCCTAATTAGCTAACATTGCCAGGAAGGAAGAACTGAAGTTGAACAAAGTCATCCGAACACACGCAATCAAATCCCAAATCACGAAAACAGCAGCAGTAAATCATAATATGAACTCGATATTGCAAGTTCCAATCGAAATGTGAGTTGCTTCGAACTAAAGACTCTGAACAAAAGGGAAGGGAGACTAGACTTACGATTGGGAAATCGAGAGGATTTCGACGAGTCAACTTCTCTTCGTCGGGAGCCATACGAACAACCTGTAACCTTCCCCTATCACCCGCGGAAGAAAGGAGGCCGCCGGAGCCATTCGCAGGCCGGAAAGAGAGAGAGCACTCGCAACCTTTCCCCGCCGTGGACGAGAAGCCCCGCGCCGCCGTGGAACAAGGTGGAACTGCTAGCGGTCTGGAAGTAGAACACGCGGAGAGGCAAATAGACGACATCGCCGCCTCCGTTTCACCTGCCAGCTATCGATACGGCCAAGCTGCTGGCTTTTCCCCTTCTATCCCGAGTTCTTCGAATCCCTAGATTTCGGAAGAGTCGCCGGCGAGAGGAGCCAGACAAGGCAAAAAAACCAGCAGCCTTCCTCTCCGGCCTTCAACAACCGCAATTTATTCTCCGAGGCGCAAAATTATATCCGCTCCACCGCCTCCTTCGCACGTTTATTGTTTCCTATCAGACTACAAATATTTATGGGCTTGTAACATTATGGGCCTCATTTTCGGCCCATTTGACATCTTTTATCCTCTCGGTTCGAGCTGATTCAATAAACCAAAAGGCCCAGTTAACTTCTGTTGAGGAAAGATAGGGCGAAAAAAATTATTTGTTGACAGTGGGATTTGAACCCACGCCCTTTCGGACCAGAACCTTAATCTGGCGCCTTAGACCAACTCGGCCATATCAACATTTGATGATGTATTTTCTACAACCATTTTTATATAAAGTGTGTTAGCTTTAGCAGTCTCCCCCATCTTCCATTTACCCTAATGTACTTATTTATAGGGTATGTTACTCGACAAATTCATGTTGGTAGATGATTCGGACTCGTAACCTCTTAATATGGTCAATGACAATCAATGAATTCTCTTCGTAATAGTATAATTTAAAAATCGGGCTAAAAAAACACACATTGTCTATCTCTTTACCTTACAATTTGAGGGACACCATTGAATTTATTTGCCGGACAATTCGTATCTGTTTGAAGCTTGGAACTCCATATTCAAATCAACATTTTGTTGTCACCATCTAAATGGACTTTTCCCCACCAGACACTCATCAGACTAATTCAAACTCAGCTTTCCCTCCACCATCTGTACTTAATATTGTAGTAATCCTGCGCTTTTCACAATCTTGATTCCCTACAAATTGTCCAATCGTTCGTTCCCAGCGAGTTTCGAGTCCGACCACCCAACAAAATTGCCCAAAATGTGATCGCATTAATCGTCACGTCAAAATCACGCACATCCCATGAATCTGTGTAATATATAGGATCTACGACCAACCAACTTCTTCCCCTTATCTAACTGCTGGCTTAGTTACAAAATCAATAAGCAGGCTGACTCATTAGCTCGTCGTGACACGATAAGTCCATAGATCAAATACTGTTGAGCCGGTTTTGGAAAATATACTGTTTAGGGATTGAGTCGGATGGGATGCTAACCGAAATTTAGTGGTCGATGATTCAACGATTAATCAATTATAGAATCGTTGGTGAACTGTTTGAGGAACAGTTCATGCGCTATAACATAAAATTCATATCATCTATCACCAAAAGGTCCTTAAAAAGTATTCATTTTTTTATATAATATTTTAGTTAATAATTAGGATGATAATACGTAGTAGACTACATAAAGCTAACAAGGAAGCCCGAGAAACGAAGAAAAGAAAGCATAAATAAAATTGGTGATTGAGTTTGGATGATCTTTTAGTTTGCATTGAAGTAATATTCTCTTAAAATTTGTATGGTTAAAATTATGAACCAGTGGACCAGTCAAACTGGGATGGTTCATCTGGTTTCATGTCAAACCTTTAAAAACCAATGAGTCCACTCCTAACCGTCCAATCAAATGAACCAAACAACGTAAATGGTTTAATGATTCTACTGGTCCAACCGTTTGTCCGTTTCGGTCCTTAATACAATGAATCAAGGTTCAAGAAAGCGCTATGCGTAACGCGAGCGTCGAGGCTCTGCCTTGCGCCTAGCATGCTTAGGCCTCGACTAGGCGTGCCTAAGCGTTAGATGTAAACGTAGTATAATATCTTCCACTTGTCCAGAATCACAAGTTTATGAACCAAATATCATTTCATCTACTTCTCATTTCTAAGCTTTCACCAACAACACATGGTAAACATAGTGTGGAGAAATGAGTAAGGAAGAAGAAGTTGGAAATAGCGAAACATAGTGAGACGAAGAAGCTCCAAAAGAAGGTAGAATCTACTATAAAGATGGTCATCTCTAACTATATCCTAGCCTAAGCATAGAGAAACCGTGATCGTCATCCCTGGTAGCATATCAAAAGGTAGAAAAAAGATATCGTGACATCATTTTGGGAGCACAACTCGATGTTGATTAGGTGCCATCGAGGCCACAACATGATTGTGATGCCTTCTCCGCTGCTTTTTTTCAAGTCAAAGCGTTTTTCTTCTGACTTGTGTCTAGGCAAGTTTAGACAAGTATCTAGGAGCACTTTTTAGAACCATGGATTGGATATTTGGGATCAAATAAGCATACCACAAACTGTGTTACATACAAATCATCAAATCCAAAACAACCCATTAACTCTTTTTGACTGATGGAGAAGGGGGAAGAACTTGGATGCCATTTGGAGAATCAAAAGCTCCGCAAATCACTGAATCCGGAGTGGCCACCTAACTCAAAACAGACGTGACCACCTGCAAAACCCCACAATCTCGATTTTCGCCCCCAAATTTACAAATACAAACCAACGGTCTGACCCGATGGGCCCTACCCGCTTCCTCCATTGACCTCTTCCAATCCAAACCACTCAAGTACTCAACCCAACCATCCGCGCGCGTGATGGGTCTCACTCAACTACCCCATTGCGCGTGGTGGTCCACTTCTCTCCACTCTCCTTTTCCTTCCCATCCTTTTTTGTCTGCTGACCCGGATCCGGTCAAAAAAAGAATTGCCCGCAAGAATCCGGCCCAGGCCCACCAAACACAACGCCCGCCGCTCACTCCTTCAGCTTCTTCCCTTCTCATACAAAACCCAGCAAAAATCCAAGTCGGGTCCCGCCCCGGAGCCCACCCGCCATTCTCCCCAAGTTCCCGCTGATCCCACGCGCCGGGTGACGCACAATCGCGGGTGCTTTTGGTTTTCGTTTTCCCATTTCTTTTTTTCAAGAAAAAGGAAAGTTTCAAATTTCATCATTTCGTTCCCCTTCCCCTCCTCCTTCTTCTTCCGCGGCTCTCCCGGTTTTTTAATGCGAAAGAGACAGAAGAAAAAAAAATCATCCATTCCATCGTCGATTTCCATCTCTCCTAAGCTCCTGCTTTCTACTACTTCTTCTTCTCGATTTTCACGGTGAGCGGGGCGGCGGAGCTTGGTTGGAGCTGAGCCGAGCGGCAGCTGTTTCTTTTTCTTGCCTCTTTCACTGGAAAGAAGGAACAAGATGAGTTTGGTGGGGAGACAGATGTCGCGATCTCACTCCACGGCGCACCACCACCGCCAGTACTCCGATAACTTCCTCGACGCCAGCAAATGGCTCCAATCGTCTTCTCAGGTAACCAGCCGGCTGAGCGCGCGTCTATTCTGCCGGCGAGTTTTTTTTTTTTTTTTTATATATGTTTTCTCTTTTGTTAACTTCGGCTGAATGGTGTTGTAGGACTTCGGGTACGGGTCAAAGATGAATCGGAGCATGCAGTCAAACCCGTCGACTCCGCCGGTCTGCTCGCGGTCGTCGAGCCTCCGACACGCTGGGGACGGCCAAGTGTCGCCGGGCCTGCTTGATCTCCACTCCTTCGACACCGAGCTTCTCCCCGAGGTTTGGTTATGGTGTTCTTTTTGTTTGTTTGTTTGTTGTAGTTGAGCTGCATTCCGGTTTTGATTGGAGTAGTAGCCGCCATTTTTAGGAGCTGAATTGGATCAGGGTTTTTTGAAATTTGAAGAAACGAAACAAATTGTGTATTTGAGAATGAGAACGGATGACGATTTTTAGGATTTGTGGTCTTATATGTTGGCGAATTGTTGGTCTGTAGATGCAAGTTGGGAGCCGCTATGAAGGATACTCGTTTGATCAAAGAAGCTCTCGTGGTAGGAGTTTTGATGACTCCGAGCCAAATCTCTTGGCCGGCAAAGTTGGAAGCAGATCGGCTAAAGGGCTGCCTGAGAATAGCCTTCTCAAGAGCTTCTCTGCTTCAGTGGATAAGGAGAGAGCCAACAATGTTGCCAAGATCAAAGTTGTGGTATGTTTGTTTTGAGGACATTCTACTATTTGTCTGTGTTGAGGAATCTCCCTATGGCGGAGCAGTTCTCGTTGTGATGGATCTTACTGATTGCAGGTGCGAAAGAGGCCATTGAATAGGAAAGAGAAGACGAAGAAAGAAGACGATATCATCACCATTGAACCGAATTCGGATGCTCTCACTGTTCATGAGACCAAGCTCAAGGTTTGTACTTGGTGTTGGTGCTATTGGACTTACTCTGGACTCCGTTATTGTGGGTGTGGTGAAGAAACATGAACCCTATGACTGCACCTGCAGGTGGACTTGACCGAATATATGGAGAAACATGAATTTGTTTTTGATGCTGTGCTGGATGAAGGTGTTTCAAATGATGAAGTAAGAATGCTGCAATGATTATCGTGCATGCCTGCATTGTTAGATAATTTGACTGATGTTGGAGCATTTTGTCTGTAGGTTTATGCAGAGACGGTTCAACCAATCGTGCCTTTGATTTTCCAACGAACAAAAGCAACTTGCTTCGCATATGGGCAAACTGGCAAGTTACTTCGACTGTCTTTTGCTGTGTCCCTGCTCGTTTCATGGGGGAACATTGTATTACCCATGTCTTTATACCATGTTTAGTGTTTTGGTTGTACATTTGCATATGTAGTAGTCCACTTTCCATTGATTTATAATGAACTTGCCTCATATTCATTTATCTTTTTCAGGAAGCGGCAAGACCTATACCATGCAACCACTTCCAATCAAGGCCTCACAAGATATATTGAGGCTAATGATTCACACTTACAGGAATCAAGGTTTTCAATTGTTTGTCAGCTTCTTCGAAATATATGGTGGAAAGCTTTTCGATCTACTCAACGATAGGAAGTAAGCGTTATTATGTTTGTTGAGGCAAACTGGAAGAACTTTCACATTTTGCAGTCTGTTGTCTGATGCTCAGTAACGTTGCAGAAAGCTTTGCATGAGGGAGGATGGGAAACAACAGGTGTGCATCGTGGGTCTGCAGGAATACAGAGTATTTGATGTGGAGACAATCAGGGAGCTCATTGAAAGAGGAAATGCCACAAGAAGCACAGGTACAACTGGTGCAAACGAGGAGTCTTCTAGATCACATGCTATACTTCAGCTTGTGATCAAGAGATCAGCTGATGGATCCGAATCAAAACCTGCCCGGGTTGTAGGAAAGCTGTCTTTCATTGATCTTGCTGGAAGTGAGCGTGGTGCCGATACCACTGATAATGATAAACAGACGAGGATGGAAGGAGCTGAAATCAACAAGAGCTTGCTGGCTCTGAAAGAATGCATAAGAGCTCTCGACAGCGACCAGGGTCATATTCCATTTAGAGGGAGTAAACTGACTGAAGTACTACGCGATTCATTCGTTGGCAACTCACGTACTGTGATGATATCTTGTATCTCGCCTAGCTCAGGCTCTTGTGAGCATACTCTCAACACTCTGAGATATGCTGATAGGTATGAGGACTGTGCAAAATGAAGTAGATAGTTACAAAATAAAATAAATGAAACTAGCTTTGTCCTATCTCGCTTGCAGCTTGAATTGACACTGCCATTCTTTCCACAGGGTGAAAAGTCTATCAAAAGGAGGCTCCAAGAGGGATCTTCTGTCCTCTTCAACTCCAAACCTCAGAGACTCGACTGCTTTGCTGCAGATGTCTGATGATAGCATAACCGAATTCCCCAGTGATAAGAACAGGTTTGGTTGGTCAAAGTCAGTCGATAGGGAATCATCTCCACCTCATAATCTGGAACGTGTGCCTAGTGGAAGATCACAGAGCTACCAAGTTTCTGTATCTGATGATAGATGGAGAAATGATGCTCCAACGAAACGGCCTGAGATCCTGATGCCTCAACCCAACAATTTTCATCCAGACGAGGACTTGAATGCTTTGTTGATGGTAAATTTACCTTTTAATCGGATTGTCTAATGTTCAACATCTTTTTAGACTATACATTAAATGCTGCTCTACTCTTTGGTATAGGAAGAGGAAGATCTTATAGCTGCACACCGGCAACAAGTAGAGGAGACAATCAGCACAGTCAGGGAGGTAAGTCAGTTAGCTAGCTGCTGCAGTGCAACTTCCAATCGCTTCCTATTTCCGCGTATTCGAGATTGTATCATTTTGATGCATTTAAGATTAGTTATGCAATTCCAAATACACTCCAATGCATTAATAATCTCGACGTATTTGTCCAATAGCATGTTGCTCAGATCACTCTTCCAAATATACTCAACCTGATGACATACTGATACAACCATCACTATGTAACCTCAGGAGATGGACTTGCTAGCTGCAGCTGACGAGCCAGGCAACCAGCTGCACGATTACGTCGCCAAGCTGAATACAATTCTCTCGCAGAAAGCTGCGGGAATCGTACATCTGCAGACCCGGCTTGCTCAATTTCAACGCCATTTGAGTGAGCATAATGTCATAGTATCTTCATCTGGCAACTGAATTTTTTCATCTTTGATGGAGTGGAGTGACACGTCTGTATTTATCTATTCCTTTTCTTTACACTTTGATCACTGTTTGTTTGTTTGTTTGTTTGCAAAATCGGCCATTGATTGATGATGGCATATACATCTGAGTTGCAGATCATATCAGTAATCAGATGTTATTTGTAGAAAGGAATGTGTTTGGCAGCAGAGGACATAATTGAGTTACAACTTTTGGCGTCATTCAATATTCATTCTGGTTCTTTGATTTTTTTTGGATGCTTGTAATTAGTAGACTGACTTGAGAGTTGAGATAATTTTGCTCCACAGTAGTACCTCTCTTGGGCAATTTAGGATTCTTAAATATCTTATTCTTGGGCTCTTGTCTAAAAAAATTGTTCTTCGTGGGCCACGAGTTGGGCCATTTGGTAGGATTGTGCTCTTCTTGAACTTGGGCCCTTCTTGCTCTATGAAGCCTCTTTATAGGCTACATGAGTGCGTGGAATTTTAACCGTTCGAGTATGTGACTCTTTCATCCCAGTTTCGAGTTCTTACGAAAACCGAATGAAGTTACTTAACGGAGTCAAACCAAAACTTTCACCGAAAAATTTCAGTATGTTAACTTTCCCTGAACTTGTAGATAGTCATTTGCTTTGTTGCTGTCTACAAGGAAGCTCAACTCTTATTTTGCAATCAATCAATAAATAACAAGCATGCATATTGTGTAAATGTGATATTTGTGGATAGTTTGCACATTTCACAACACTATAGTATTTGGAATGTGCTATTTTATCAAATATGTTGTTTGTGTAATGTTAGAAAGTGTGGCATTATGGTTGTGGTATACTATTTTCACTCCAAATTAGTTAAATGCTCATTTATCCTTCTCTTATTAAAGAAAGTAAACTAACATTCTTCTTATCTAACCCTGCGAAAATATAATTACGAGTTGATGTATCATTCGGTGAGAGAGTCGTATTCAATTTACCAAAAAAAAATCTCAATTTCACCAATATCAAATCGCGAAGACCTCTGTCATGTCGGGTTGCCACTCGATCCTCCTTATACGTGTCACATAGGTAGAACGTTTGTTGTTGTTGTTGTTGAGGTACTTAATATATAGATGGTACATAATGCCAATTTGCAAATCTTCCTTGTTTGATTGGAGGTGGTGGGTAAACAACTTTTATTCTCATTGGCTTGCCAATTTTGGTCTATTTTCCTCTTCGTTGAAGCTTAATTGTTTAATCGCAATTAGTTGTGTTTGGCTTACCTTTATTTAGTGGGCAATTTATTTAGCATTATTGGTCGACCCTACTACTAATTGGGGAAACAATGAAGATTTATTGGCTATTATAGGGAAGAAAATTAGGACAACCGTCCATATCCTCTCTAATTCTTTAGTATACTTAATTCGACCAATAGATTTCTTTCTTCTGTTTCAAGATAGCTTGACTCCAAATAATCTTATAATCTTATTACAAAAAAAAAAAGTACACATTATTCAACGAAGAAAAAAAAAACTACACATGCAAAAATTATTTTATTACGATGATTTACAAGTTATTATGATTTGAGAAAACGGTCTACCACTTTCACTAAGTGGTCAACCATTTAATTAGGGACGTACGTACAATATTAATAGCTATGTTTGTTGATAAAAGAATTGAAAGTTAGTACAAAGGTTGAAGTATAGATGAGAAGTTTCTCTGGTCATTGTTCTTCCGTAGGTTTGAAAAATGCAATGCATATTCATTTCTTAGACTTGACTTGCTTATAGAGACTTCCATCTTTCCTTCTAATTCTAAGTTCGCTTGTTTCTTCTCCTTTAGTTGTCTTGTGACGGAGCAACTTTGTCATTATTGTCGTTAAAAAGATATTTAAAAAGTAGATATAATTGTTATTTATTGTGTCATCTCCAACGTCAATAAATCTTCTATCATCTTGCTTTTGTGGGCTTTTATTCCACAGAAACAGTGCTAAAAGATGGTGTTATTTATTTTTATCTAGGCTTATAATCTTTGTAATGATTTGGTTGCCCACGGGTAATAGGATGTTGCATTACTACAAAACAATTTCGTATTTTAGGCTTCCTAACGTAAGTAGAAGATAATTTTGTCATTTGTCACTCGTTTGCTAGAAGCATACCGTTCAGCAAAAGCGATAGATCGTTTGCAGATCGTTCCAAAAAGCAAGTGTAAGTTGGAAGTAAGCGTGTCATCAGGTCGACTTTTTGTGGGAACTGGGAAGCAGTCGACCTCTCTGATAGATTAGTTGTCTGAAGTGCTCGATCGCTTTTTGAAAGTGGTAGACCTTTAACTGGGGATAGGTTAGGGTGGTTACTCAATTTTGAGTAATCACAGTGGCTACCAACATCTATACCATTCATTATCTTTATTTTATTATATTTTTAAATTAACGATTAAGATCATATAAGGGTAATTTAGGAAATGAAAAACGTACCACACCTGATTACTCTATATATTATACTCAAACCCTAATACAACCCCACAACCGCCGCCGTCTCTCCCTTCTCCCTTCTCCCACAACCGCCGCCGTCTTCTCCCTTCTCCCTCCTCCCTCCGACCACCCCAACCGGACCTCCCTCCCCCTGATGGCGTCCCTCCCTCCCCTCTCCCTCTCCCCGATGGCGTCCCTCCCTTACCCCTCGCCACCTCAGCTCCCCGCTCCCCTGCCGGCCGCGTCGTACGTCGAGCACCAGAAGGCCGTCACGATCAGGAACGACGTCAACGTCAAGAAGGAGACGGTTCAGATCGAGGAGGATGAGGAGAATCCCGGTAGTTTCCTCGTGAGGAGGAGACGGCAACGTCAAAGTTCTTCGCTTTTAAGCCTGTTGAAGTGGTGATTTTGAATTTTTGATGTTTTGGCCTTGTTCAATTTGCTAAATGTTCTGGGTTGGGGCTGTTTGTAGATGTGGTGAGAGATGATCCCGTCAACGTCAAAAATAATACCAACCGCCGCCGTCGTCTCTGCAATTGGAAGGAGGAATTCCATTGGAATGATATGTTTTTTTTTTAAATGGTAGTCATTTTTTTTCAGTAGTCATTTTTTTTAAATGGTAGTCATTTTTTTCCGTAGTGCTAGTGTTATAGTCGTATTGGTATAGTTTTTGTCGCATTGGTATTATTTTTGTCGCATTTGTATTGATTTTGTCGCATTGGTATTGATTTTGTCACATTGGTAGTGATTAAATCTGCAATGGTATTGATGTTTTGTGAAATGGTAGTGTTTTTATTTCTTGAATGGTATTGATGTTTTGTGAAATGGTAGTGTTTTTATTTCTTGAATGATAGTTTTCGTGTAATGGTATAAATTTATTTATGCAATGGTAGTTTTCGTGTAATGGTATAGATTTATTTCTGCAATGGTATTGATATTTTTCAAAGTGGTAGTGTTTGTCTAATGGATTGGTACTGATTTCGTTTTTTTTTTTTTTTTTGCAGAAAGATTGAGAAAAATATGGAAAGAAAATCTGGCTGGAGATTACGGAAGTGAGAGAAAGAGAGAATTTTAATTAATAGATTTTTGTAACTACCTTAAATGTAATTTATTAAAAAATTAATTAATATAATTTATTTTTCCATACCCAATTTACCCTTAATAACCACGGTGATTACTACTTTGGAGTAATCACCGTAACCTGTCCCCCTTTAACTGAGACAAACGTTTGAGCATTTTCTCCAAGTCACCATAGGTATAGCCAAAAGTTATTATTCTTTATTCAAGTGGTGGGTTTAGGTACAAATTATTTGTGTGCATACCTGTAAAGCACAACTCGGGTTTTCTATGTAGGATTCTGAAAGTTTACCATAGGTCACACTGCTGGATGTTAGGTTAATGATTTAAGATACAGTTAAAAAGAACATTCGTTATTATGTAATGTTTCAATGAGGTCTAAAAATGAAGTAATTGGATTAGATAACCTCAACAATATGGGAATGCAACAATTGGAACGAGGTAATTTTAATTCTCTCGTTTTGCATTAATTTGACATGACAAGGGCAAATCTAGTGAGCTGAAACGTTTTTTGCGAGATGAGATAATTGTAAGTCAATTATGTCAAATTATCTCATCTTGTGAATTTATCATCCAAACAACCCCTGTAATAGGATGTTAAAATATTCCGATTCAATGAGTATTAAATTGGTACAATTTGTCAATACGATATGGTTCTATATACATACAAATATATACATCACCAAAACTATTGTCCATTCGTTTATCTATTGTGAATCACTATATAAAATTGACCCGATTTTCTAACATGTAGCCGTTGTACCGGTGCTAGCTAGGTGGCCATTTGTGAAGGAGAATTATTAGTTAGTATACCATGTATATTTATGTATTCGTATATATGGTGTATTTGAATTTAATTTCAGAGAAAAATGTGTACGTATTTGTCTACAAAATTAAATATACACGTTTGTTCCGTATACATAACAAATACAAAACAAAAACTATTGTACATTTACTTATTTAATGGAAATTCGGAATATAAGATTGATCCCATTTTCTAACATGTAGCCGTTGTACCCGTACAAGCTAGCTAGGCTAGTTGGATATTCTTCAAGGGAAATTAAGTATATTCGTATATATGTAGTATTTATTTTTATTGAATTTAAGAGAAAATGTGTACGTATTTGTTTACTTCAAAGATATCTGAGGGGTCGGACATTCTTTTATCGCCAAATGCTTTGGGTTCCTTGATGGGTGTAGGGGAATGGAAAATAAAGAAGCATATGAAGACTGATCGGGAGTGATAGAACTTTTATATACAAGTCGGGAGTGGGTATGAGTTAGGGTATTAATGCTACGATTAGACGTCCGACACTTTCTGTCACGGTTTATATACTTTTCATCAAAAGTGCGTCCGACACTATAACTTTTGTTCCCATGAATCCTCTCATGGTGATGTTAGTTTCGTATATGCATCAAGTCCTTAAACCATGTTACAATCCATGAAACACTGTCTCCAGGTCCGGATACACTCGAGATAATCTCTAAAACTCAACACATATGAAAGCTCATACACCTTTCAACTCGTTCCTTCATTAAATTGGAATGAAAATAACAAGTAGTCATATCGTTACAGATGATCTCTCTCTACATTTTCACTTCGTATTTGCTTATAACGTACTTGCTACATACGACTCGTTAGTAAACAATCCAATTTTGAGCTAACCCTTGTTTGGCTCGCGTAAGGCTCGTGATCTAGCTCTCCTCCATGGCTTATTGAACTCAACTCTTAAGCTAGCTCGTCTTGAGCTATGCACTGGCTCGACATGAGTATACATGGCTAACAATTAAAGCAATGAGCGAATCCATTAATAACTTATCATTAATTCTCTGGTAATTGACATATTATTTTACATATCGTTTGGACACGGATTATGTCCCATTTGTAGCTCTACCCCACCTCCTCCTTAGATCTCATTCACACCAACTAGATCGAGAAAACAAAACCTAGATTGAAACTCCACACAATATGTTCTCCACCCAAACCAAAGTTAATTACTTGATCAAAACACTTACACGTATAAGTTTAAGAGTTCATTACAATTACTTTAATCAAACAAAATTCAACCACCACATACTTACATCTCACGAGAAGTTCCCCATGAGACACTCAACCCTCATCCCCTTCTCTTCTTAATTAATTAAGTACCCAAAAATAATAATTAAGGGCCTCAAAATTTTGTATTAGCAGAACATAACGCACCGAATGACGAATGTGTGAGCTTGGGAGAGACGACGAGAAGAAGAGAAGGACAAAAGAATATAATCTATGGGGTTTGGGTTTGCTTGCACCCTGTGGTCCAAACATCGACGGTTAAGGAGCAGCCAATTAGAAGTTAAAGCAGTTATTTAACAACGATAATGATGTCGCTAATAATGGGTTTGCTTGCACCCTGTGAACCCATCAATAACAAACGGACATGTATATGGTTGGAGCTGCTGCGTCTACATAAGGTTGAGATACGAATTTTTTATGATCCGAGTACAATGGTACAATGGAAACAAGAGTTGTGTATAGTCGGTAATAACGAAGCAGTATCACACGTAGATACAAGGATGATAGGATCAAGGTGAGCAGGTAACTGAATAGGAGGAAAACCGTCATGGAACCGTCCGTGTGATAACTAGATAACCACAAGAACAATCTCGCAAATCGACGACGGAGATAAACGGGTTGATGGTAACCACCAGAAACCTTGGCGACGTAACTGTCGATGTAAAACAAGCCTTTCGCACGTAAATGGCACAATGCCAAAACTCCCCAACACTAGGAGTGAACGTCGAAGCAATTCCCCGAAGAGATCGTGAAAGAGAGATTTTCGAGAGAGTGCATTATCGAGTAGCATTATCGAGTCACAGGGGACTCAATTCGAAAGTATGACTCATGACAACTATGTTTGACAAGTCACATTATCTCAAACAAATACTCCAGTTTTCTCCTCCAATAACCCAATTAAAGAGAAGGATATAAACCAGAAATACCCTTGTGATAAATTTGATCTTACCTCTTAAACCATGTCACAATTCACCAAACACTCGTCTCCAGAGGTCTGTATCCACTCAACACAATCTCTAAAACTCGACATATAAGAAAGCTCCTACACCTTTCGAAAGAGCTCATTTCTCCTTCATTCAACTGAAATGGTAAAATAATAATCGTATCGTTTTACAAATTATATCTCTCTACGTTTTCCCTCCGTACTTGCCTCCGCAACATACTTCAATTTTTTTTTTGCGAATTCGGCTGTCAGAAATCCAGCTCGAGAGACCTCCCCCAACTTTCCATAGATCTCATTCACATCAAGTCCTAGATCGAATAAAACAACACCTACATTGGAGCTCCACGCATTATGTGTTCTCCATCCATACTAAAGTTAATTACTTTATCGAAACACATCTAGTCCTTGGTGTAATTAACGTGATAAGTTCAAACTCCACCACAATTACTTTAATCAAGGAAATTCAACAACCACATACATACTTACAAGCATAGTTAGTAAATACTCCGTTTAATACACATATATGTACCCGTACGTACTTTATCCGTTTAAAACTTCCGTATCCGTATTATTGTCAAGCCGTTTCATTTTTTCCCCGTTCATTTCATGGTTCCCGTACTAAACACGTATAAAACCCGTATAACACGTTTATTATCCGTATTTTACGAATTAAATTGTTCACTTTACTATTATTTATATATTTTTAAAATGATTAATTTTATATATTTATGACTATTAACATACTATTAAACGTAATTTTAGCTTAAAGATGAAGTATAATGCCCGTACGTATCTTTTACGTAACTTTCCCGTACCGTATTTTACTAACTATGCTTACAAGTAATTACATCTCACAAGAAGTTCATCATGCCACGAGACACTCATCCCCCCCATTCCCCTTCTCTTCTTAATTACCTATAAACTAATAATTAAGGCCCTCCCTAATTTTGTATTAGCAGAACCAAACGCACCGAGTGACGAATGAAATGGGGTTGGGTTTGCTTGCACCCTGTGGTCCAAACATCGACGGTTTTAAGGAGCGGCCAATCAGAAGCCAAATTAAAGCAGTAGTTTAAAAACAACAAATAATGATGTCGCTAATAATGTTTGTTTAAGGAATACGGTGTACGTGGCGGAGCAGGCAGGAGACACGTACTATGGATTGACTGGCTCCCCTGCTCTGCCTCCTATGATGCGCCAGCCCAGAGGCCACATTAAATCATTTTTAAATTACGAAAGTAAAGGCCCAAATGATAATATATATATGGTTTGATAGGTGGAAAATAATATATAATAAAACTATTAATAATGAAAGAAAAAAGTAAGCTCGTCCGTCGACATTCGACCGAATCTAACTCACTTTATTTACATATTTGTGTCCTTGATTGGGGTTGTTTACTATTATTATTATTAATTATTATTTTACATTGAATTATTAATTAATTAATTATTATTATTATTGTGTTATTACTTTGTTTACTTTAGCTAAGATATTGTAATGCGAGAACTCGTTATTAGGATAAAAGGAAGCTAGCAAGTTTCACCAAAGGAGGATTTGATCGAAGAACATGAATAAAATTGAGATCTGACACATTGAGACATGAATGATGAAGTTGTATTTTGTTGTAATATATAACTAGAATGTATTGTATATAAATGAAGATAACTTAATTTATTATTTAATTATGGTTAGGTGATAGAAATATGAACTAATATTGACGAGATAATTAGAGTTTTAAACTTTAAACTCTCACCAACATCTAACTGCATATCAATATGTACACATGTTTTTCTCGAATCGAGGTGGATCTCTGGGCCCACCTTGTTGTGTATTGGCTTTTGCCTCTGCCTCTGCCTCAAATCGTACTATAGTATTCACTATCTTTTTTTGTTTCTGAAATGTCTGAAATATAGATATACTACTCCTTTATCCCCGCAAGTTGTACCAGATAAGTTAATGATATTACATTTTGTGATTAGCCCTTTCGTACCAGTAAAATTCTATACTTGATTAGGCGTTTGCCTCAAGACTGGATCTCTGTTCCGAATGTATTGTCACCGCTATTGTAACCTTTTGTTGGATTTTGGGTTAATGCAGAATCTCTTGTCAAAAAAAAAAGTAGCGCTTGCCGATCGAATCGACATTAGGATAGCTAATTTTCAAATCAATTACAAATATAATAAACGAGCTTTTTTTGTTGTTGGCTTTGAGTAAATCCCGCTTGTATGTAACCCGATTCCTGGCTTCCAGGCTCCAGCTTTACCCTCCAAAAAAAAACTGTCCGTCCGTCCCTCTAAATTACAATTTATCAAAGTGGGACCACCATTATTAACATTTTAACAACACCCAACAGCCAATCAAAATCCGAAAACGCATAAGGAAGGCAAAGAAAGAAAGGAGGATTCCACGACCCACACGCTCCACCTAATCGCGCGTGCGTTCACTCCTCTAAAACCAATACTCATTAATTTCATCATTAAACTAATCACCTCCCCCTGAAAATATCTAACCGCAAAGCCCAAGCCCATCCCTGACGTGTACCCACAAAAGATTATAAAAAGCGAAGCCCAGTGGGCCCCACCACCCAATCCCGCGAAAATATCACAACCGTCAAGATCTCCACTCCCCACCGTTTATATATTTATTACGGAACGGTGAATCCGTTTCGTTAGAAAGAAAACGGAACGGGGGGGAAGGAAAAAATCAAAAAGGGGCACTCAGCCATTCAGCTTAGCCGTCGTGTGCCTTTCACTCTGCTCTCCCTTCCCTGAAAAGAGACAAAAGAAAGAAGAAAACAGAGCAACAAGCCGCCGCCGACGACGACGGCGAAAGCTCGGAAGGAGGAGTTGTTCTTGACCGTTTATGGGATGGAAGGGAACAACGGCGGGGACGGCGAAACCAGCACCAACACCATCGCGCCGTTCGTTATGAAGACGTATCAGATGGTCAACGACCCATCGACGGACGGACTCATCTCCTGGGGGAAAGCCAACAACAGCTTCCTCGTCGTCGACCCGCTCGATTTCTCCCAGCGAATCCTCCCCGCTTACTTCAAGCACAACAATTTCTCCAGCTTCGTCCGCCAGCTCAACACCTACGTATGCGAATCACAACCCACCGAAACGAATTGAATCGGGAATTGGAATTGGAATTGAAATTGGGATTCCTCTGTTTATTGAGCTTCCTCTGTTTTTTTTTTTCCTCCCCCAATTGTTGCAGGGGTTCAGGAAAGTAGATCCGGACAGGTGGGAGTTTGCGAGCGAGTGGTTTCTAAAGGGACAGAAGCATTTGCTGAGGAAGATAGTGAGGCGGAAGCAATGCAAAGGGTCGAGGTCGATTGAGGAGTTCATGATGGAGGGGAACGAGGAGATGGCGGTGGAGATTGGGAGGTTGAAACAGGAGCAGAGAGCGATGGAGAGGCAGCTGGAAGGGATGAGCAAGCGATTGGAGGCGACGGAGCGGCGGCCGGAGCAGATGATGGCGTTCCTCTACAAGGTCGTGGACGACCCTGACCTCCTCCCGCGGATGATGCAGCGGAAGGAGCGGAGTAATCGGCGGCAGCGGCTCCTCGCGGCGGGGCAGAAGAAGCCTCGGCTGGACATTTCGTCGAACAATTCGTCGTCGTCTTCATCCGCCGGTCTCGCGGCGGGGTCGGTGAAGTCGGAGGAGGAAGTGGAAGGTGGGGGGTTTGGAGTTGGAGGGTTCGTGTCGTCTCCGGAGAAAGGGTTCGGCAGGGTGCAGTACTCGTCGTCGCCGGAACCTTCACCGTCGCCGGAGACGGTGAGCGGTTCCGGGTGGTGTATTGGGGAGGTTAGCTACCGTCGTCCGGTCGGCGGTGGGGGGAGTGGGGTTGCTTTCACGACGTCGAGTGGGGGCGGGTATGGTGGTGGTGGGGAAGTTAGTTATTTCGGAGGGATGGCGGCGGCGGCGGCGGAATCCAGACCACCGCCTCCGCCTCCGCCTTATCCGTTCTCGCTTTTAGGTGGTGAGTTTTAGATGCTCTGTTAGTCTGTTTGTTTATTAATTACGTGGACTTTTTTTCCTTTTCTTTCTTAATTTCCATTTCCCCCTTTGCTTCTTCATTTCATAGTATTTTTTTTTTGGTTCTAATTATGTTGATAATTAGGGTTAGGATATTGGATGTTGCATAACTTCTGTATGCAGCTTTTTTTTCTCCATTGCTAGATTGGAGATTAATCAAAATAAACCGTGACAACACCTAACTGTAGCTTTAGAGGTTATCTTGTTAACCTCTAAGTGATTAGCGCCATTCTAATCAATATCATAGTAGTTGATTCGGTTGCTTCCATCGTCTCATCTTCTCCATCAAATAGTAACATAGTTGGTGTTATTTTTTTTCATTTGATTTTTTTTTTTGCAATTAAGATATCTCCATTCTCGTCTATCTTCCCCTACTCTCTTTCTTGTTCCCCCCCCCCATCCACGCAAGCGTCGCCCCTCTTCGTGTCACTCGCTCTTTCCCCGTCGCCTCCATAATCTCGTAAAACAAGTCTATGCGTCGCTTCGTTGCTTTCTACACCACCGACTGTCGAGGGAGTCTCTATCTGCCCTCATGGAAAATGCCCACTAACCACCACGTCTACAAAGTGCTCCCCGTACCGTTTATTCATAGAGTGTCGAATGGTGTCTAGATCTGAGTTCTCTTGTTCCTATGTCGAGAACTGGCCTTCAGGGAGCAATGTAGTTGTCGATAGAGTGTTGTATGGCCGTTATAGTTGTCGATCAAGATTGTAGTTGTCTATTAGACTAATGTTAATTATTATAGTTATCGATTGGGGGTGTAATTATTGTAGTTATCGTCTATAGAAACGTAACATTAAAAAAAAAAAACATCATTGAATCCTCACCCTCATTTTGACCTCCACATCAAGCGGCCGATATCTGGCCAGCAGGGCCTATCAGAAAGCATCCCTAGACACAGACAGAGAGCAGGCCGGCATCGCCGGCCAGGACAAAGTGGTCATTTTTCCGGCGAGGTATACAGAATCCTGAATAGGATGAAGTTATGTCATTGTCGAATGGGGGCGTGACAGCTGGAGAATGGCGACTGTACAGGTTCGCTAAAAACACACACAGAGTCCCCATGAAAGCAAAGCATGGGGGATGGGCGGCGGGCACTGTCCCCAGCGTTCTACCGCAAGTGGCAATCCAAGTAGAGTGTGCAACAGACAACAGAACATAAAAATGGGAAACCAAGGGTGAAATATCGATGTTTGTGAAATAGACTGGAAAAATATTGTATCGTAGTTCGAATTGGTGGGCAGCTTTTTTTGGAGGTATGAAATGAATGAATTACGGTTTCAATGCAACATATGATCTGGTTGAAGTTTTCGACATACAATCTGCGATATGATTTGCAATTGGCTGGTAATGGAGAAAACATATCAGAGAAAGTCTTGTGTGAGGAATGGTTTTTATTCCATCTACTTGCAATAGCTGGATATCAAGACGAATTGATCCCCGATATGATCTCATGGTGTTTGATGCATACACAACTAACCAATACTATTAAGATCTCGTGAATGCCCGATAAATCGATGGGAGCTAGCATTTCAATCTTATAGCTTTGTCAATGGTAAGTTGGATATCGATCCTGAGAGTATATCATATCAACCCCGTGCATTTTTATCACTTACGAGTCGGTTCATGATGTCCAACCTTAGGAATTGATTTAAGCACAGGATTTCGGGTCTTCAAACCTTGACAAACTCATGATCAATTGACTTTTGTTTAAAGAAACGAGTGAGAAATATCATATAAAAATTCACGTTTGAGATTCTACCAACAACTAATGTTATTGGTTTGATACAATACAGGTTGTATTCGACATGCATCATAGCTTTCACCTCACTCCTAACTCTTAACTCTAAAGAGCGGGGATAAGAAAAAGGATCTTACCAATCAAATACGATATACAGAGATCCTAATCACCCGGTTTATTGTAAATTGTAATGATGCCATTCGCAACACCGACATTTACACACTTGGCGACAACTCATTGAAACTAAAGAAAAACAGACATCGAGATTAGTAAGAGTTAGTGATCTCACGAGTTGTTTCTTATCTTGTTGGCACTATGATTTGTTGAAGGGGTCGTTTGGAAGTTGCGATAGTTTTGTTGAGATTGTCATTATGCATGTATTGTTTACAATGCATTGTTTTTTTAGCAGAAACAATACATGGATTGTTTCTGTGATGTGACAGAAACTATCACTCATTTTGAGTCATTGTTATATCTCAACTTTTAGTTGTGATTGTTGAGATAGTTGAGTTGAGATTGTTTTGTCTCAGCTTTTAGCTGATGCGACATACACAATCACACATACCAAACGTTGTATTCTACAATGCATCAAATTCGACAATACATGTATAATATTATACATGCATTCTCAACAATACATCTATTTAACAATCTCAACTTCCAAACGACCCCGAAATGAGAAGGATTTTTGGTGTATTGTGTTTGGTGTTTCGTTTTTTGTTGCTGTATTTCTCAAGTACGATTTCCTTTCAATCATTGGCTAGTTGCTCCTAGGATGTTTTACTCTTTGTTTTGAATTCAATGTCTATTTTTTGTCTCCATAACTGATAATTCAAAATGCATTATAAGTTTCTCTTCGAAAAAATATAGTAATAGCTGGCCTGTAAACGACTTTTGTCTTACACCCGTGCTCATAAAAAATAAAGTTTACGAACCGATGGGGTATTGTTAGTGACTGACGGCAGAGTGGATACATAGCACTCAAATTTAAAAGTAGCATTTCAGACATGAATTTTGAATTTTAATTGGCGGCATTAGTATGATATGATATGAATAACATATCTTCACAAGTCACAACTAATCAATCCATTATCCTAACTCCTAAATTTTCAATTTTGAACACCGAACCAATTGTAAGGAACCAGTTGCTCCCAATAACTCGAGTTGTTGGGAGAGGTTCAATCGTGGATCATATACCACAACACTAACACGCCCCCTCAAACGAAAGCCACTCGCAAGGGCTTGAAGTTTGTACAGGTCTGAAGACAAGAATACCATGTGCTTAACAAATGGGGGTCACCGGGAATCGAACACAAGACCTCTCGGTCACAGAAGGCTATGATACCATGTCATGAACCAGTTGCTCCCAATAACTCGGGTTGTTGGGAGAGGTTCAATTGTGGATTATATACCACAACACTAACACCAATACCCCCAATTATAAACCCTAAACCCTAACCATAGATACTAAACCCTAAATTCTTCAAATCAAAGTAAATCTTTAACCAATTTTGTGCAAATTCATGTATTTTCTTGTTTATCATATCACAGGTGATTATTAACGTCGTTTCGACCTGAATCATCTACTCAAAACACGATGATTATAAGGTGACTACATAAAAATTGAATGCACAAACAACTAAACAAGTGAGTAGGGATGGCAATCAAACCCATGCCCACGGGTATCCGACCGCCCCCGACCCAGTCAACGCGGGGAATCCCCGCTTTGACTGTGTATGGGGCGGGTATGGGTAAAACCCGCAAAATGTTTGATGGGTATGGGGCGGGTATGGTTTTAGCCTCTCCCGCCCCATACCCATACCCATACCCGCCCCACCAAGAATAATTGTTCACATATAAAAAATACATGGATGAAATAGTAATCTATCAATGATAGTGAGGGTAAATCAAAAAAATAATTAGTAGAAATGCAATTGAGTGGTCACCCAAATCAAAACCTAATTCATTTTCCTCAACTCTCTCTTCACTCTTTCACTTTTCCCTCGTGTTAGCAAGATTATATTAGTTCATTATTGCTTAGTATATGTATTAGAGTTAGATAAATAATGATTTGGATTACATTGTAGTACTCTATTTTATGGATTAAGGGAAATTTTAGGATAAGATGCTTTGAACCATATTAAGAATTATTGTCACTTTCTCGACTTCATGATATAATAGGTGCCTTTAATGTTATAATTGAAAATTTACATGTAAAATTTTATGTATTATAATGTTGGATGTACGGGGCGGGTATTACCCATGGGTACCCGAAACCCACGGGTA